TGTGCCATATGGATCATCTCCAGGGCAGGGATCGAATTCATGCTAAAGTGGCTTTAGCTTCATAGTGCTGTGCTTTAACCTGCTGAGCCACCATGGAGGGCCCCATTAGCAGAATTTTTTTATGAATACAAATTTGATTATTATTTGCAATGATTGGTAGAAAGAAATGTTTTTAGAGTTTTACAGCTAATTCTATAAACAAAGCAAAAGATACAAAAATGGAATTGCCTCTTAGAACTTCTGGATTGCTATACTTTGGCTAATTCGGCACTCTATCCTCTTTCTAAATAAAAGGGATAATGGAATATTTTCTTAGTATTTTGTAATTGTCTATTAATTTGGACTTTCTCAATGAGGCTAATTTCTCTTGTTGCCATCATCAATTCATGCTCAGTAATTAAAACTCAAAAAGTGGGAGATAATTGTCAGCATGTTCTCTCCACTCCCGCTGGACCTGGACTCAGACCTACTGGAATGTGCCTGCAAGCCATTTTTGCACATTACTGACCTTGAACATGTCTAAGTAGCTGTTTAATATGTGCTTATGAAAAATGGCACAATGCTAACTTTCCTTGATTTACATTAACAATAAATATGAACATGATAGTGGATTTCACTTGTGACTTTATTGTAGTACAATTCAGATATGTCACTGCAGCCTCAGGTAAGCCCATGTGAAGAGTTGTCACAAAGCAAATGAACATTAAGTTCATCTTTTTTTTTTTAAGATTTATTTATTTATTCATAAAGAACTGGGGTATAGGCCAGAGATGCGGAGGGTGAGAGGATTCACCAGAGACAGAGTGGGGAACAGAACAGGCAGATCAATGAAGTACACTGCTGAGGGGAGCAGTGGGTGGGCAGGAGAGGTCTGCCACAGCCATGTGGATCTCCTCCAGGGCAGGCGGGGATCAAACTTATGCAGAAGTGGTTTAAGCTTCTTTGTGCTGTGCTTTAACCTGCTGCGCCACCAGGGAGGGCCAAGTTCATCTTTTTAAGCTTGACTATTGATAGTTCTTACATTATTCTATTAAGAAATATCTAAAATTGTACGACAAAAATGTTGAATTTGGAAGAGAAAGATAATTATTATGGGAGTAGTTTTGTATTTGTTAGTATCAATAAAATGGAAATAAAGTACACTTTTCATCATGTGTTTTAAAAGGGGGGTGTGCTGTCACTGTGCTTTATCATTTATCTAAGCAATAGAGCTTAGATATACGCTAATTGGCAATCATTGTTCTTAACATTCAAGTCTGTAATTTGACAGACTGAGTATATTATGATTGTGCATTGGAAGTTAAGGCATCTGAAAGATAGTTCAGAATGGCTGATGTCATATTTCCCTAGGCACGCAGGGGTCAAAATACCTGGGTTCCAGTCCCATCTTAGAACACATGTAATGCTAACCAAGGAGTTCTGGGGCTTTCATCCCTCAGATGAAGACCAAGTCCGTCCTCTTTAGATCACAGAATGGTATGTCAGAGAGGAAGAAAATGCAAAGGCCTCTGTGACATGCTAGGCTGCAGATTGTTTTCCCAAAAGTATTTAGCTTGTTAAATTATTTTATGATCTAGAAATAGCTCTGCGACTGAATCTCCTTGTAACGCCACCAGTTGTGCTGCCTTTTGTTCTAAAACAGTAGACTTCTTAGAGAAGAGTAGCCTTGAAGATGGAGCCAAGAGTGAGAGAAGATGAGAGAAAGATGAGACATGACTTTGTTCACGTCCAGTCCTAATCTTGTGACAACATTTATCCACGATACTTATCTTCTTCCTGCCAGCTTCCGTTTCTTCTATTCTTGTCCCTTCTTCCCTCTATCCCCGGCTTCTTTTGTTTCCTTAATTTGTCTCATGTCTTTGACCAAGGGGACTGAGAAGAGTGGAGGATGATGGGCTCGGTAGCTTTAAGTGTGTGATGTTGATGTTGATGGAGCGTGCACTACGCACACAGAGAACAGAAAATTGAGTACTCATGCCATGGTCAGCCACTTCTCCTGTGCGCTTTCTGTTTCTATATGTTTACCCTTAGCTCCACCAGTTGATGTTGCTCCAACATGGAACATATGTGTGAACTGCCTTGTCCTTAGGATCAGAAGCATTATATCTATGTGTTTGTTCTGTCTGAATTATGAGTTTTTAATTTCATCGTCACATTCCTTTCTAGGACAGGAACGCTTTGGCAACATGACCCGTGTCTACTACAAAGAAGCTGTCGGTGCTTTTATTGTCTTTGATCTATCAAGAGGTTCCACATTTGAGGCAGTCTTGAAGTGGAAAAATGATCTAGATAGTAAAGTCCATCTTCCAAATGGCAACCCTATTCCTGCTGTCCTCCTAGCAAACAAGTGTGACCAGAAGAAGGACAGTGGCCAGACTCCTCCTCAGATGGACCAGTTTTGCAAAGAACATGGCTTCACTGGATGGTTTGAAACCTCTGCAAAGGTGAGGTCCACTGTGGGTTTGTGTCTGTTCTGCTGCTGGTAACTTGCACAAGGATCTGAGCTGTGACGAGAAAGTAAGTAGGTAGATTTTTGCAGTGGTTTTCTGAAGTCTAGAAAAACTGAAACACAGCCTTGGTATGTTACATTTTTTTTTTTCCAGTGAGCAGCAGGAATGCTTTCAACTTGGCTAACGGGGAGGTGAGTAGAAGGGCAGATTTTGCATTCAAATTAAAAAGGGCCATTATGTAGCGCAAAGAACGGATGACATTTTCTGGGAGCTTGGGTCTTTAAATGAAACACTTTTCATGCAACTGGAGTTTATGAGCGATGAGAAGTATTGTCAGGCACTAGCATTTGTAATTCTTTAAAACAGTTTAACAAAATATATGACCATTTCCCTGGTGAATCTGAAGGTCACATGCAAGACTACCAAAAGCAGAAAAGGTCAGAGAGAAGATGTTTTCAGAAGATGTTTGAAAAGCTTTAGAGGAACTGCACGAAAGAATTTGAAGAGGAAAGTATCAACCTTTGTGACATGCTTCTTCATAAATAGTAGTGAAAATTTTTTTCTTTCTATGTTTTGGGCAGCAGAACAAAATACAGAAGCACTCAAGTTATCTTTTGAAAAACTTTAATGGTCCAGATGTATAATAAAACAAAGATAGAAATCACAAGCACCAAAATTGGGGGGGGGGGTGTTTATTTGAATTGTAAGATTCATATTTAGAGGGTGAAGTAGCAGACTTAAGAAAGAATGACAAAATGAGAAATTCTGAGATGGCAAACTTTAAACCATAAACTGGGTGTAATTTTAACACATATATTCATATGTGTTAAGTGTGTGCATGATTTATTTATATATATATTTTACATATGTAGTATATATGTATATATTATTTTAAAAATTGTTTCTACTTACTTAATTTTTGCTTTACCAGAAACCTACCCTAAAGTTGGAAGATTATTATTGCTGATCAGCATAATTAATTAAAGCAAAGCTATGAAAGACTGTACAAAAAAACCTCTGAAATATTGTCTGATGATGGAATCATTGGGAAAAAATGGTATCGACTTCAAAATGAAATGCTTTTTGTTGAAAAAAGTAGATTCTAACACTCTTAAATTAGTTTCATAAATAAAAAGAAGTGGTGGAAGAGACAGAGGTCAGAGGTGTTGCATGAGTACTCTGCCAGTCAAGAAGGGAGCTCGCAGCAGGAAGGATTCATCCAGTGGCTTGCTCTGTCTGCTCTGGTTCTAGCCGGTCATTAGCTTATTTCCTTGGCCTGTTGGGGAAAAAAATATCAGTGCTATGTGTAAATGTGTATTAGAAGACCAAATTTGGTGGCAAGATCTTACAGATAAAATTTCCTCTTTACGTTTCATTTGAATTAATCACTCTGGTAGTGAATCCAAATTTGACCCCAGAATCTATATAAGATTTATAATCCACAGTATCACATGGCTGTGCTTGAGACTACTTGTCATCATTGCTACTGTATTTATAGATGATGCTTCTGGAGAGGAGCGGGGAGCATTGGCTAAGAGTAATGTTTCAGGCATATTCTGGGCTTTTGTACAGATATTCTAGAAACATCTTTTGCAGAATGTCCTTAATAATAAACCAGGATTGTCATTAATAATAAAACAGGAATGATCCAAGGGAGTACCTATACATGTAAAATTTAGGTTATGAATTTTACTTGACGCTTAAATCACTGCTATCTGTACCGGGAATACCGGTGGCAGCAGCTGCCTATCGATCTGATTTCTGGTTGCATTCCAGGAGGAACACAGCCAAAAGATATTTCTGAATTCATGAATTTTGTCTTCTCATTTTGATGGCACATAATGGATTTCTAATAATGTGTGGCTACAATGTGGAAATTTGTGTTCCTAGTCGACTCCTATCAAATGCAAACTAAAGACTATTTTAATTATTTGCTATAATTGAGATGATGGAGAGGGAATGACATTCAAACTTTCAGGGATCAGTGAGTTAATTAAAGTTAATGCTTGTCTTGGGAGTGGAACTTTAAAAAAAAAGTTGATGCTAGAAAAAAAGGTCATTGAATAAATTGCGCAGGCCTTGCAGGTTTCTCACTCTCTGAGAGATGTACAGCAAATAAAGGAGAAAGCTGGGAAGGACCTCGTGGGTTAGATTCCTTCCGCTGGATTGGAATCACGGAGCTCAGAGTGTACATACACAGGCATATATCCCTGTGCTTGTGTGTATGTATGAACACATCACACACACGTATCTATATAAACTGAAGGGCACGTGTAGAATAGGTGTCTGTGTGTGGATCAGGCATATGCATATAGTTGCTAGGTCTGTGTGCTGGGGGGCTTGCCTGAGAGACAGTGACTCCAGAAAGCCAGTGGGCTTGCCTAACCTCACAGTCAGGTCTTGAAATACTGTTTTCCAACTGAAAGAACCAGTCTTCCCAGGAGAAATGACTGACCAGGGCTATTGAGACAAGACCAGTGAAAATGTCTCTGAGACAAGTGGTGGTGCCAGAAACCAAGGGGGCCCCCATGTGGTGACAGAGATGTCTGAGAAAGACACAGGGCCTCTTACGGCTCCATACATCTAAGATGATTCCAGCAAGAGCATGAATAATGATGGCAGTGGATTTAATGCATAGCATAGAGTAATGATCCAAGACATGAATAAGTAGATGAGGGAGAAGAGAAAGCTCTTCTCCATAGTCCAGTCCAACTAATAAATGTACAATGGTTACAGGAACAGCATGGCATCATTAAACACCACAGTGATCATTGTTTTAGGGAAAATTTCTTGATGCTGAAATTAATGGGGAAAGTATGGTGAGGACAGAATATCTACGTAAGTACAAATTAAAGTTAATTCAAGTTAGTGCTTGTCTTGGGAGTGGAACTTAAAAAAGAGTGTTGCTGCTAGAAAAAAGAAGGTAACTGAATAAATAGCACAAGTCTATCAGGTTTCTCACTCTCTGAGAGAGGTACAACAAATAAAGGAGAAAAGTGGGATGGACCTTGTGGGTTAGATTCCTTCCGCAGGATTGGAATCGTGGAGCTCAGAGTGAAGATCACAAAAGGCAAGGAGATTGAGTGAACGTTCTAGACAAAGGAGACATGATCTGGAGAATGTTCTAGATAAGGAGACCCAGACCACTGAATCAGAAATATGGCATGGAGACGATTGGTGAAATTTTTATAAGGTTAATAGATTTACATGGACACAATGCTAGTATCTAATGCCCCAATTTTAGTAGTTGCATCTGTTTATCTAAGATGTTAAAGTTTGAGGAACATGGGTAAAGAACATATAGGAGTTTTGACTGTTGCGATATTTCTATAAATCTGAATTACTTACAAATGAAAAATTAAATATTTTTTTTCAAAATCAGCACAGTTTTTGCTATGGGTTTCTTATTGTGTCTTTAATGACAACTTAGAGTCACACAAACATGACAGATAGTAGCTCCTAGTGTGCGTGCAGGAATCACACCTGCAACATTGCTTTAGGCTCGTTTGCACATGAACTGCAAATATGAACTGGCAATCAGAGACCGGAGTGACATGATGTAGTTACCGTAATTTGGATGGTTTGAGCCCTTCAACATTTTTCTTCATGGTGGATTCTGAATGTTGGAACTAGATGTTCAAGGAATGAACTAGGTTTTAATCTTAGTGCTTTATTTAAGAAAGAGGGTGAAGATTCACTTTCAGCTACCAGGCTAGCATGCAGGAACTCGGTGGCAAACGGTTATAGAAGGGATACCAGGAAAGGTCCCCTAACCACTGGAGGAGGCAGCAGGTATACACTAAAAATGCCCCTTCCAATGAGTGGCCCAAGTGATGCTTCCTCATGACAATAGTCCTACGATCTGATGCTCTTGCTCAATCTGTCTCACAGGATAACATAAACATAGATGAAGCAGCCCGGTTCCTAGTGGAGAATATTCTTGAAAACCAACAAAGCTTTCCGAATGAAGAAAATGATGCGGACAAAATTAAACTGGACCAGGAGACCTTGAGAGCAGAGAGCAAATCTCAGTGCTGCTGACACGACATCGGCGTGACCCGGGCAGAACGCAGCCCTGCAGTCCAGAGCGAACGCCTGGGAGCAGGTCGCAGGGCGGGGTTCCTGCCCTGTGAGTCCCCCAGCTGCTGGCACCCCGGACTTGGGGGAGGGCATCCTGCCAGAGGCCCTCCACCTTCACACATGAGCACTTTTGTACTCATGGCCCCTGGATTCAGGATAACGTTTACATCCTTTGAAACATCTTTTAACATGACCATTCCTCAGGATCTGGTCAGCACCCAAGTTGTAGCCCTTAGCATGACGCAGGGGTGGTAATAAATGTTTACTCCCATCTGACAGTAACTGGATGAGTTTGTGTTTTCGTCGCCATGGTCCATCCTCACTTTCAAAGGGGGTTTTGACTCTGAGTCACAGAAGTCCCTGTCTGTCACATTCCGGAGAGCCACATCTTCCCCTTCAAAGCTCTGGGGATTCATGTAAAATTGTTACCCCTGAAACAACTAGTCCTGGCTGGTTATTCATCTCAGACGCATTAAAATGCCCTTCCTTATCACTCCAGAACGCCCTCATCTGCCTCCTATTCTGGGCCTGGGACCAGAAGAATCAATATAAACATAGTTCCTTCCTTTTCTTTCTCCAGCCTCTTCCTCTCCTTCCTAGTGTTTGTGTATAACTGCAGGCCTGAGCAATATCATAGTTGCAGTTCTAAGCGGAGCTGGATTCTTCAACTCTATAATAGAAAGGTGACAGTTGAGGAGAGAATTAATTTCTAAGTATAAACTTTGTTTTTATTTTCTTTGTTGTTAAAAAAAAAAAAAAAAACATGGTCACATGTGGATTTATATCAAGTTTGCACATTTAAGATAACATAATATACAAAAAATTTAAGGCAGGATCACAACATGCGTTGCCATTTAACCCAGGAGGTAATGTGGGTATACTTCTCCACCTTAGAACACTTTTGCCTTTTCTTTTTAAAGAACATAATTATATGTGTAAATTCCAACTTATTTCTGTCAAAGGAATCTTACTGGCCTTTGTGACAATCTCATGTTAATATTAAATGAGGTATTGACCAAATTTTGTCTAATCCATTAATTGTGATTGTGCACTTGGATGGGAAAGATTCAAGCATTTATTGAGATCAGAAAATAAAAACTAACATAGAATTTCATTTTTTCTAACAGGTGTATTCTGGGAAAAAACACTGGTAGTTGTCTTGCCCCATAAATGTAGCTTATTCTACCCATTAAACCTTTGTCTTGCGAAGGAGTCACAAATGTGTCTTGCATATTTTATACTTAAGAAAAAAATTTATTTGACCTCTATGGCACATATTCTTTATAGAATCAGATTTTCTGAGGTTAAGGGATAAAATTATGACCTTGGTCTAAATCGTATTTATTGTACAGTTAAATTTTTTAAAACATATAGTTAAACCTTGCTTTATATATATATATATATATATATATATATATATATATTTATTTATTTATTTATTTAGACATACAGAACTGGGGTACAGACCAGAAGTGCAGGAGCAGTGAGAGGATTCACCAGAGACAGAGTAGGGAGTAGAACAGGAAAATCAGCAAAATACAATGCTGAGGGGAGCAGTGGAGAGGGGAGTGAGGGGGGTGTCAGAAGAGGTCTGCTATGCTATGTGGGTTGCCTCCTGGGCTGGGAGTCGGGGTAGGGGTGGGTATTTAACTCCCTTTGAGGAGGCTGCTAGCTTGCAGTGCTGAGTCCTAATCTGTTGCACTACCAAGGAGGGTCCTCAACCTTGCTTTCTAAGAAAAAAAAATAGTAAAATATTTTCTAGTCTAGGTAAAAATTACTGCTTTTAACCTTTCTATAATTCCAAAGTTAAACAGTGTGAATAGGATGAAATGTTTGTGCCAAACCCCAAATGTAAAACTATGAAGCTTTTTCTAAGTAACCACTAAAAGAGACTGAAGTATACTTGGAGTTTCTTTCCATATATATTGTGACTAGCTTCTTAGTCACAAGAAATTCTTCACATTTTCATGTTTTAGCAGTGGATTCAAAATCAGAAGTATAGCACTTTCTTTGCTCATCTTTACAATCCTTTTTATCTACTAGCAATTTTGAGAATTACTCAAGAATACCATGGTTGTTTGTCTATACACACTGAGTTCTGAGTGTCACTGTGAGGTAGTTTATCATTCACCAAAATTTAGAAGTAAAGATGAGTTAACTTTTTGCTTTCCTCCTAAGTTCTCACTGCAACTCATTTTTGTCATCTGAACATATAATTTGAATTTAAAGTAAACCTTACACATAAATGGCTGAAAAATAGTTATTTTGACTGACTTTTTTGACTTAGTTTTCTTGACTGACTGACTTTTTTTCCTGACTGCCTTCAGAATTACTGAACAAAAACTACTTTTAGAAAACATTTGGTGTTCACTTTGAAAGCCTCTCATAACAATTAACAGTAGTTACTGTTACTTAGTTTGAAATTTCTATTATGCAAAACATGGACATTCTTAAAATATAGCACTTTGATTTCTAAATCAGTATGTGAAAAAAATCTGAACACTTTACACTGTCGATGGCAGTATAAGTTTACTTTCCTGCCCATGGCGGTATAAGTTTACTTTCAACCACCGAAGAAATTGAAATTTACTTTCATTCACTTCTGGCTTAAGGTTCTGACAGGCTGAAGCAAGGGGCAAGCAGTGTTAGTTGGAATTGATTGGTCACTTGGAAAAAGTAAGTCATAGCTATCATGTGCTTCCACAATACACAGTCTGAAAACTAATAACTCAAATAATAACCTAGACAAACAAAACTGCAAGTTATGAAAAAAAATTCGGACCCTGGCCAATAAAATTCTTTTCAAATTCCCAAAAGCTCAAAACAATAAAGAAAAAATAGGTAAATTTGGTTAAAACACTATCCTTTTTTTTTATTTTATAAAAGTTTATTTTTACATCATTTTGTACATTTTTTTTTCATCTCAATTGTAATCCCCATGGGTTTCCCATCACCAAGTCACCCGTGTGCCATCACCATAATCCCGTGCATTTCCCTCCCCACCCCCCTGTTTTTGATCCCATTCCCCACTCCACCCCCGCAAAATGTCTCTGGTATATGGTTGTTCATATTTTTGTTATTTTCTCGCCTGCTCCATTATACTCCTGCTATGAGTGAAACCATCCGGTATATTTCTTTCTCTTTCTGGCTTATCTCACTAAGCATGATCTTTTCCAGCTCCATCCAAG